ATCTACACAGTCGAATGCCTTTGCATAGTCAATAAAACACAGGTAAACATCTTTCTGGTATTCTTTGCTTTCAGCCAGGATCCATCTGACACCAGCAGTGATATCCCTGGTTCCATGTCCTCTTCTGAATCCAGCTTGAATTTCTGGCAGTTCCCTGTTGATGTACTGCTTCAACCGCTTTTGAATGATCTTCAGTAAAATTTTACTTGTGTATGGTATTAATGATATTGTTTGATAATTTCTGCATTCTGTTAGATCATCTTTCTGTGGAATAGGCATAAATATGTACCTCTTCCAGTTGGTTGGCTCGGTAGCTGTCTTCCAAATTTCTTGGCATAGACGAGTGAGCACCTCCAGTGCTGCATCCGTTTGTTGAAATATCTCAGTTGGTATTCTGTCAATTCCTGGAGCCTTGTTGTTTGCCATTGTCTTCAGTGAAGCTTGTACTTCTTCCTTCTGTACCATCAGTTCTTGATCATATGCTATCTCCCAAAATGACTGACCTTTGACCAATTCTTTTTGGTACAGTGACTGCATATTCCTTCCATCTTCTTTTGATGCTTCCTGTGTCATTCAGTATTTTGCCCATAGAATTCTTCACTATTGCTACTCGAGGCTTGAATTTTTTCTTCAGTTCTTTAGCTTGAGAAATGCCAAGTGACTAGGAGGTGATATTATCGTCATCTCTATTTTACATATGAGGAAATTGAGTCTCAGAGATATTGTTTGTACAAGGTAACACAGCAAGGAAATGAAGGGCCTAGAATTTGAGCTTTACATTCCTATCTCCACTGTATACAGTGTCATTCATTCAACAAACAAGCATTGAGCCCTTCATTGTGCCACACCGATGTTGCTACACCAACTATATGACAAAAACTCCACTCACTTTAGAGGTCTCAGTATCAACAGAATTCTTCATTTGTCTGAGTTCAGAAATTGCCAAAGCCGTTTTATCTTTATTCAAGCTGATTATAAACCTATATAGAAATTATGTGAAAAACTAAAAGCTTTAGTCTTCTTGTGGGGGGTGGCGAGAGGAGCCCTGGCAAAATATAGCCTGGAACCAAATCCAGGCCCCCACCTGTTTTTGTAAACAAAGTTTTATTGGAACACATATTGTCTATGGCTGTTTTCCCGCTACAAAGGCAGTGTTGAGTTATGACAAAGACCATGTGGCCCACAAAGCCAAAAATATTTATTATCTGGCCCTTACAGAAAAAGTGTGTTGACTCCTGCTTAGAGAAGAAAGCCTGAGCTCTAGGAAGGAAACTATGGTGAGTTTTAAGGTCATATAGGACTAAGATAATTGGCAGCAAGTACCATTTTTGAACCATCAATATCCCCTACACTAGCTATGCTTTGACTCCTTACAACGATTTAAAACGTGTTTGATTCTTGTCATTCACAGACATGTTTATTATTTAGAGGGATTATAAAACAATTTTATAGCAAAAGAGTTCTTCCCTTTTCACAATGAGTATCAGAAAACATAAAAGAAATCTGCCACTATTGATAGAAAACCTGGATTAGTCATATTTGGTCTTATTTGGTCCTGCAGGGGGATCAGTTTTAGTGAGACAGCAGCAGCTGACGCTGCCCTTGGCTACATCATTGCCTTCTTGGTACTCCTGTCTACGGTGAAGCTATGGCATCTGCTCAGGTTGAACCCCAAAATGAACATGATCGCATCAGCCCTGTGCCGTGCCTGGGGCGACATCTCAGGCTTTATCATCGTCATCCTTGTCATGCTCCTGGCTTACTCCATCACTGTAAGAGGCTCCTTCTCTTTGGCGAAAACTTCAGGGCTGGTTTCCATGGAAGTCAAGGCTTCTCAGTGGTGTAGAGTAGAGGGTTAGGGCTTGGGTAGCCCTGGGAACCTGAGGGAGATAGTGGATCTTCTGAGTATGGGGGCTTTTAGATAGAAGCTCATGAACCAGCCACCCTAAACGGCAAAGGCTAGGACCTCAGGGAAGAGTGAGGAGGCATGGGCTCTAGGGCTGGAAGGGCCAGCTTCCCCCAATGGAGGACTCCTGTCTGCATCCAGGTCCTGCCTAGATGAGCCAGTTCTGCTATCTCAATTGTTCAGGAGGCACAGGGCCAAGGTGACCCCTCTGGTTAATCCCTGACATGCACAAAGCATGCCCTATGTCCCAGGAGAGGCAGAGGTGAATTGGGCATTCCTTGTACTTGAGCTGGGGAGGGTGTGTGTGTGGGCTGGGGTGGTGGTGGTGGGTGGACACATTCACAGGCCAGGTCAACACTTGATGCCGTAAGGCTGGAGGCTTGATCTTAGTAGGGCCAATGCCATCTGACTCAGCCCCCTGACATATAGTATTTTGACAATCATATCCCTTTTGTGGCTGAAAAAAACCCCAAACGTTAAACTTCCAACTCTTTAGTATCAAGAAATGTGAGAAAGAAAGACCCTTGCTGATCTCCATTCAAATATGCCAAGGGATCTCTACCAAGTCCATGATTCTCATCATATACCTGATCTGCACTCATCTCTGACCATTCATCCCAAACCTGACCCATGCCCCGCCCCTGGCCACTTTCCCCATTCTCACCTGGGCCCCCACCCAGTCTCCCACCTTCCACAATTTCTCTGATCTGCATGCCATCCACTAGCCCATCTTATTCCTGGTCCCCACTTTAGCTCTAACTTTCACATATTAATGATCCTCTCTGCATCCCAGACTATCACCTGAACCCTGAGTCCCCTCCACCTCTGACCTCACTCCATCTTCCTCTCCATCCTCAGAAATGGGGTAGGGTGCATTGATGGAGTGAGGGTATATACTTTACACTTGGTGATTTCTAAAAAGCTAGAAAGCCGGAATCCATATTTTTGTCAAAAATCCCTGCCCACATGCCCTGATTCATGTGGATTTGATCAGTCCTCCATCTGCAGTGCATGGGCCACAAGGATGTCACCAACTCAGAGTCGGGGGTGCTGGGCCTTCCTCTGGCACAACCAAAAAAAAACCAAAAACCAAACCCGCTACTGTCGAGTCAATTCCAACTCATAGCGACCCTATAGGACAGAGTAGAACTGCCCCATAGGGTTTCCAAGGCTGTAGTAAATCTTCACGGAAGCAGACTGTCACATCTTTCTCCCACAAAGCACCTGGTGGGTTCGAACCACCAACTTTTTGGTTAGCAGTCGAGCGCCTCAACCACTGTGCCGCCAGGGCTCCTTTCTGGTATAACAGTCTTGGAGAAATCCTTTGGGGAGGAGTTTGAGGAAAACTGTGATGGGGAGAAGATCTGCCCAGGCAGAGGAAGCTCAGGGTCCTTCTGTCCATTGCCCTTCCCCAGAGCAAAGAGGGGGCCTACAAGAGCCCAGTTTTACTTAGTGAGTCTTTGAGCAGCTATCTGGGTGGAAACAGGAGCAGCTTGGGAGGTGGGTACCTGTGCCCAGACGTGCCCTGAGCACTCTCTCTATGCTAGCAGATGTGGACAGTAGCAGCTGGCCCCTCAACAGGCTGTGAACAACAGAAAAGGTCCTGGTCAAGGTCGTCCAGCAGGCATTTCCAAAGCACACAACACGTACAGACAAGTACATATATGCAATATCAATGCACACAGGTCTACCCATGCACACTCACACACAGGGACATGCATGTGGCCTTGCACATACCCCATCCAGGCTGAGTTACACATACACCCACCAGCATGACCCCATAGGCATGGACATCTTTTGCCAGGCCAGGCCAAGGATGTGTACAACCCGGACCACGCATTCTCTGCTCAATGACAGGTTATTGGGGAGGAGAGGCTTCAAGTTTCTGTCTTTATTCATAAGGACTCTTTCCATGACAGTCACACTTAATATTTGGTTGGAAACTCCTTTCCTACAAAACCCTCTTTGATGCAGTGGAAACAATGATCAGCCTTCAGCTGGGAATCTTCAACTACCAGGAGGTAATAGGATGGTGGGGGAGTGAGATGGCCCCTGCCCACCTATGTCAAGCCTTTATGAAAATTAGAAAAATCACCTCTACTACCCCTCTCAATGGACAGGCAGGCACCAGGCAAGTTTGGACAAATAAAACCCTTCCCTTTCCCCCACGCAGATAGCTCCACGCTAGGGCCCACAGCTCACCCGGTGGGGGGGGATACCTCTGGTTACCAAAGAACAGTAGCCACTTGCTACTCAGGGGAGGGCCACACTGGGGGTCTCCAGAAGGGAACTGTTCCTGGCCCTAACCAGAAATAGTGTCCTGACTTTGGAGGTTGTGGCAGTGGGGAGAAGGGGATGTGGCCCTTTTCCTCTCCTCTTGAGAGAACCTCCTGGACTCTCAACCCTCAGGGCAGAAGGGGACCTTTCTGGTTGCAGGCTCTGCCCAGTTCCAAGAACCAGTTTTCCCTTCTGAGGCTGCCTAGTAGGGGTGGTGGCCGATGGGAGCTGGGTCACCAGGGGATGACTGGCTTTCCTCCTGGCAGGTTCTGGACAATAGCCCAGTGCTTGGCTCCCTCCTGGTTGGGTCCTGCATTGTGTTCATGACATTTGTGGTGTTGAATCTATTTATCTCTGTCATCCTGGTGGCCTTCAGTGAGGAGCAAAAACACCATCAGGTGAGTCTTTCGCCTGTTCTTCAACAAAGACCTTGAACTGGCTGAGGTCATGCCTGTGGTGCCCAGGAACCGAGCAGGAGTTTGCAGTGGTGGAGGGTGGGAGGGGAGGTAGCTCCTCCTCTGAGCACTCCTTCACTCTCTCCCAAGCAGAGCTTCCTGGATATTTAAACACTTGTTGTTAGCTGCCATCTAGTTGGTCTCCGACTCATGGCGACCCCACGTGCAGCGGAACGAAATGCTGTTCAGTCCGGTGCCGTCCCCATCATTGGTTGTCGATCAGACCATTTTGGTCTAGAGGGGTTTTGGAAGTAGGTCACCAAGCCTTTCTTTCTAGTCCATCTTAGTCTGGAAGCTCCACTGAAACCTGTTCAGCATCACAGCAACACGCAAGCCTCCACTGACAGACAGGTGGTGACTGCACACGAGGAGCATTGGCCGGAAAAAGAACCCATGTCTCCTCCATGGAAGGCGAGAATTCTACCCCTGAACAACCACTGCCTCACTTAAACACAAGTGGGTTTAAATAGACAGTGTAGCTCAAAGCCCTCATTTCATAGGAGGGCCTGAGGTCCAGAGAAGGAAATTATTTCCCTAAGATAACAAGCAAGTGAAAGTAGAGCTAAGACTAGAACCTGGGTCTCCTACCCAATGTAGAACTCTGTTCACTACACCAGTGATTCTCAACAATTGCACATTAGAATCACCTGGGAGGTTTTGGAAATTACTGCTAGTCCTGCCGCACCTGCGACCAACTGAACAGACTCTCTAGGGGTGTGATTCAGGCACTGGTATTTTTTAAAACCACTATAAATGTAAAAAATAGTTGAAATGGCAAATATTTTGTTACATATATTTTACCACAATTAAAAAAAATAGGTTTATATGCCACAAGTGATGCTTAAGTTCGTGTTCAGTAACAGCTGAAGCTTTCTCAGTTCTAACCTGGGAACTTAAAATACTGCTAGGAAACCATGGCATCCTCAGCAGAAAGAAAGAGGAAACCCACTGGGGATAAAGGAGGACATATACCCCCTTGAGGAGTCCCTGGGTAGTGCAAACGGTCAATGCACTCAGCTGCTAAGTGAAAGGTTGGGGGTTTGTGTCTACCCAGAGGTGCTGTGGAAGAAAGGCCTGGCAACCTATTTCCAGAAAAATTGAAAACCTTACGGAGCACAGTTCTACTCTGACACACATGGGGTTGCCGTGAGTCAGAGTCAACTCAGTGGCAACTCTTTGGATTCCCAGATGAAGGTCAATCCCAACACAAAAGAACTCTAAAACATAAAGTGACTTAGGCTGTGACCAAACTGGACAATTAAGCCATGGTTTCCCCTCAGAATGAAAAGCCTCGAAAGAGGATGGTTCTATACATGGTGCATGGTTCTTTCTCCCCTGCAGCTATCGGAGGAAGCAGAGATTGCCGATTTGCTACTGATGAAAATACTCAGTTTCCTGGGCATTAGAGGTAAAAGAGAGGAGCCTCAAAGCAGCAGTGAGAAGCTTGGAGAGCTGACAGAAGCTGGGGCCCCTGAACTGGCACACGCTGCACCCAAGGTTTAAGCAGTTGGTGCACATGGGTCATCACCTACAGAGTGTGGGAATGGACAGAGCCTGGGGCCTACGCTTACCAGCAACTTGATAATCTCTCCAGATTGATGTTTTTCTGTGTCCATAGAACAGTTACTAAGCCCATCACATAAAAAATAATAATAATAAATAAGTCAACATATACATACATATATGCATACATACATAAAGTTGCAAATGACTATGAGAGTCTGTTCAAATGTATTTCCTTCTAAAAATAAAACAAATATTGTCTGGAGTTAGGGGGAGAAAACCTTCCTACAAACTAATTATTTCCCCTTCTTGGTTGGTCAGGGGTCACCTTTGAAAGACCCTGGTTCAGGGTTTCTCCAAGTATGTTTGAGAGGTGCTAATAAGCATCATCCCCCTAAAAGGTTTCTGGATCAAATAAATGTGAGAAACACCGGTTAAAGAGGCCATAGGAATTCTTTAGCATAAGAATTGACAGAGTTTTAAATATGCTCTCCTGGGATGAGTGTAGGGAGCCCTGGTAGCGCAGTGGTTAAGCGTTCAGCTGCTAGTTGAAAGGTTAGCAGTTCAAACCTACCCAACGTTCTGCAGAAGAAAAATGTGGCAGTCTGCTTCTGTAAAGAAAAGATTTACAGCCTTGAGGAACCCAAGGTCGAGAAGGCGGGAGTGTTGCGGGATTGGCAACCAATGACACAAAACAATACGTGTATTAATTGTTCAATGAGAAACTAATTCGCTCTGTAAACCTTCATCTAAAGCACAATTAAAAAAAAAAAAAAAAAGATTTACAGCCTTGGAAGCCCTGTAGGGCAGTTCTGCTCTGTCCTATAGGGTCACAATAAGTCAGAATCAACTTGATGGCTATGGGTTTGGTTTGGTTTTTTGGGACGTTAGCATGAGAAGTAAAGTGTGTCTGATTTTCAGACTTCTCTGGCCAAGAAATTAGGTCCTGAAGCATTTCACTCAGAGCTGGTGTTCTTTAGATGAACTTTGGGAGCTAGTGATCTACACAAGTGGTTCTCAACCCTGGCTGCGTGCTAAAATCCCTAGACTTCATCCTGATACATCAGTATCTCTGGGCTGGGACCCAGGAATCAATAGTTTTTTAAGTTCCCCAGGTGATTCAAATGTAAGAACCACTGCACTAAATGGTAACCCATGCCTCTTGCCAATGAATGGTTTAGGGTAGGCACATGACTCAGTTCTGGTCAATGAAAAATGAGAGAGGTCTTTAGCAGGCTTCTGGAAAATGTCTCCTTCCCAATAAAAAGAGACACACAGTGATGGGCTCTCACAATGCTGGACATTGTCTTGTCTGGGTACGATGCCTGAACCTTTGGCAACTACCTTGAGACCATGAGGGAACAATCTGAAGATTGCAGAGATAAGAGATGAGAGGAACCTGGGTGCTTGATTATTGTTGTTAGCTGCTATTAAGTGGGCCTCCAACTCATGGCAATCCCATGCAAAATGGAAAGAAATGCTGCCCAGTCCCACACCATGCCCTTGATCAATTGTGGATCAGACTGTTGTGATCCATAGGGTTTTCATTGGCTGATTTTGGGGTGTTTGGTAAAGTCTTTAAACCGCTGACATAACAAATCCTATAAATGAACAACTGCCAGCCTTCTAGTTGGATGCGATCACACATCTTTGAATGACAGTTGACCAAGATCTCACCCTACCACATCCTTCTACAACCTGATGACAAAAACCCACAAACCTACAGGCCCAGGATCCTTTATAAAGATAGACCCATATAACATGTAATATACACCAAAATCTTGGGAGATTTAATCATCTTCTCTCCACCCGAATGCCCATCATCCATTCTTTATTGTATCAGGTATGAACATGAGCTGTGTATACAGAGATGCTCACCAAATAACCCATTGTGAGGGGAGCAGATGTCTGCTGACAGACTGGTACACAAACTCACCCCAATGCATACAGTGAGTTTGTTTTAAATAGGAAAAGTACTGACTCATATTTCGAGAAGTTGTAAGTTCTTCACCTCTCCCCTCTTTCTCTTCTACTCTCTACTTCCCTATCAACTGTAAATATCAAACTAGTAACTCCTTTCAATGTTATTGTTATAAGAGAAAAAATATGTATCAACTTAAAGAGATGAGCTGACTCTTTCTGAGACACCTGGAAGAAGTGACCAACTACAGACTACAAGTGCCTGTACCAAATGTGCAATGAGATGACCTTTCAAATCTCAAGCCATGGATGTAACAAGGATTACCACGTTGAAGGAAAAAAAGAAAAAGAAGAAGAAGAATTTCTGACTATCCTCAATGCTTGTTAAAGAAAAAATATGACATACTTTTTTTTTTTTTTGGTGGAAAGGTCTGTGATGTAGCCTACACATTTATATGTGGTCTTGTTCTTTCCACCAAATGAGTTGGTGGAGTTGGGAATAAATATTTATTTTAGGGTAGGGGTTGCATTATGCTACATTGGTTTGTATGGTATCAAAACAACAATAAAATCAGAATATTGATTACTATAGAAGCTAGACAAAAGCAGTGTAGACCAGTGTGAGCCAGTCAGCATCCCAAAAGGAGGCAAGTATTACAGATCTTAAGAGCACTCCCTTGCAAATCAGTCAAAATAGAGGTCAAATCCTACCTCTGCCACTTAGTGGCTGTTTAAGCTATAAAATGCCTCCTCCATTACCTTCCTGGCTACTCAACCTTTCTGCCTCGTCCATGAAATCAGAGTAATACCTACCACAAAGGGGCCTGGAGAGGATTAAAAAATAATGTTTGCACAGTGGCTGGCACATATTTGTTGTTGCTGGCTGCTGTCATGGACTGAACTGTGTCCCCCAAAAATATCTGTCAACTTGGCTGGGTCATGATTCCCAGTATTGTATGATTGTGTACCATTTTGTAATCTGATGTGATTTCCTTACATGTTGTAAATTCTATCACTATGATGTAATAAGATGGATTAGCGGCAGTTATACTGATGAGGTCTACAAGATTAGTGTCTTAAGCCAATGTCTTTTGAGATATAAAAGAGAGAGGCGAGCAGAGAGACATGGGAACCTCATACCACCAAGAAAGCAATGCTGGGAGCAGAGTGCCTCCTTTGGACCTGAGATTCCTGCGCTGAGATGCTCCCAGTCCAAGGGAAGACTGATGCATCACAAGGACCTTCCTTCCAACAGAGAGACAGAGACTTCTCCTGGAGCTGATGTCCTGAATTTGGACTTGTAGCCTACTAGATTGTGAGAAAATAAATTTCTCTTTATTAAAGCCATCCACTTGTGGTATTTCTGTTATAGCAGCACTAGATGACTAAGACAGCTGCCTTCGAATGGATTCCGACTCATAGTGACCCCATGTGTGCAGAGTAGAACTGCTGCATAGAGTTCTCAAGGCTGTGACCTTTTGGAAGCAGATTGCAGACCTGTCTTCCAAGGTGCCTCTGGGTGGGTTCGAACCACCAACCTTTCTGCTAGTAGTTGAGTGCTTAACTGTTTGCACCACCCAATAATGACTCAATACATGGCTGTTATTTACTTAGAGGAAATGAAGATGATAGCGCTTGCAAGCCACTCCACAGATGTGGTGACCATCCCTGGTTTATAAGGGGGGCAGAAGCTCCGTACAAGAGCATATGGCCCCCTCAAATACACACACACACACTTTAAGGTGCCAAGCCTGTGATGCTGAGGGTGCAACACTTGAGATCTGTTTTTCACTAGGGTGTTTCTTTGCTGGCTTATGCCCAGTTCCTAAAATCTGTGCTGACAGTTTCTGTCTCCTTGGATGGGGGCAATGACTTCTGCTTTTCTTGGAAGGCCTTGGTCGCTGTGCTAGCCACTTAAGCAAGGCACTGTCCACGCTGGGTCTTCACCGCCTGCCTCTAGATGCTCCTGCGGAAGCTGACTGTGGTCTAGTATCCACCAAGAAGTCATTTCTGACTCTAAGACAAATCCCTTCCCTCTGTGAGCTTCACGATTCTGTCTGTCCACTGTTTAGGGTGCATGGGCACATTGGAGTCTGTAAAGTAATAAAGGGGGTTCCTGAATTATTTTCAGTTTTTCAAAAAGTCTGAAAAGAAATTCGGACTTCTTTTAGACTAGAAGTATCAGCGCGGCTTTGGCCAATGCCCAAAACCCATCTTTGAGCTGCAATGATTCTGGTTGTCCTATGAATCCGGCTCCGGGTAACCTTGATCCTCTGTCGAGGTGGGGCGCCTTGACCTCTCCAGGACTCACGGTTCAATGGCTCAGGATTGTGCAGGCAAGGCCCACCCATCTTGCCTGGAGCCCTTCTCACCGGGGGGACGCAGCCCTCAAAGCGCGCGGAGCCCCCAGCTGTTGACTAAGCACTTCCAATCGCCCCGGCGCGACCCTGGAGCACAGCCCCGCCCCTGGACGCTACACCCTACCGCGGCCTTGCCTTGCTCCTATCCCGCGCTTGTCTCCGCCCCTCGTACGTAGCCTCATCCGGGCCTCAGGCCCTGCCCGATGTGCACGCACCCCTGCACGTCGCCCTATCCGGTGCCGCGCCCGGCCCGGGAGTCCCCGCCCCCCAAGTACCGACCTATCGGCCCCGGCCCGCCCGGCCCCGCCTCGCCCCGCGATCCAGCCGGCTCGCTCCGGCCCAGGGCCGCTTTGCCCCGCCCCGCCGGGAGCGCACGTCCTACGCTGCGACCCCCGGTACTTTGCGAACATGGCGCTGCAAGCGGCGCGGAGCGTGCGGGCCGCGGCCTGCAGCCTGCGCGCGCTCTCAGCGCCCTGCGCTCCTTGCCCGCCGCGGCGCTGGTGGCGCTGGCCCGGCGCCTTGCGGACGCTGCACACGGGCCGCGCTCTGTTCTCGGGTAAGCGCGGACGGGGGCGGGCACTGCGGCACTTGGACCGCACGTGGGCGACCGGGCAGGCAGGGAAGGGTCGGGAGGAGGGACGGAGATCACTTCGCGCCCGACTCACCTCGCTGGTTTTTCGAGAGGAGAGGTGAACTTCCCACCCCAGACCCACGCCAGGGTTACCATTTCCACGCTGCTTCTTAGTGTGGAGATCCCGAGAGTTAAGTGGCCGCCGTTGCCTCTGTTCATCTCGGCGTGAGAAGGCACAGTCCATCTTTGTCCTGTGGGTTAGATGGAGGCGGACCAGACTGGAGCCCGGCGGGCAGAGGCGTCTAGTCCGAGTCCGGCAGGTGAGTCGGCCGCTCGCCGCCGGAGAGACCAGGGAGGCAGCATCGCTAAGCTCCGAGGCGACTGTAGTTTCTCTCACATTAATTGTGTGCATCGTGAGACCCTGGACGTGGAGACATAACAGAGTTTAGTTTACTAAATGGACCAGTATTGAGAACTCCGAGTAAAGTCAAAGCAAAAACACTAAAATCAAAGCCCCGGACCCAGAGTTTTACTAGCTAAAGCGAGCATGACGTTGAAGACGCAACTGTTTCCTAAGAAGAGTCAGAGTCGGCTGGATTCTACAGAAGACGTTCTGCTGAAGTTTGTCCCAGTCAGTGATGTCTGTTGGGGCTGAAATGAGGCCTACCTTAAATGACTTGAAATAACTGGGAGACCTACCCATCAAATGTTTATGCACTAGTGCTACTTGTGCAAACACTGTAGGGAAAAACAACTTTTTTACTTTACGCCCAAATACTGCGGACATTAACTGCACCTTTTAAGAAACCAGGCTTCTTAGGAGGCATAGATCAGTGATGGCTGTTTTCTCATTAGTTCATTGTTTTAGAAATCCATTTGGGATCAGAAGAGTTGGCATTTATTACAAACTCCGAAGCGTAAATATTTGCTCCCCCTCCCTTGCTAATATTCCCTCAAGTATGTTTGTGAAGTGTTTCAGTACATTACCAGTTTGAATACAAGGGTAAAACGTTTTTAAGACAGAAACTGAATTTAAGCCTACATTTTTTGTTATTCAATGTTACATTATCTCTAGCTGTTTGCATTTTCTACTTATCTAGGTAAATATTACCCAAAACATCGATACCCCTGATTTGGTTAAGCACCTAGGTTTTTTTGTTTTAATTTCAAAATGATTTAACTTACAAAGTTGCAAGAATACAAAGAACTCCTGTAATCACAAATTCATTCATCAGTCGTTAAACATTTTGCCACGTTTGCTTTTCTCTCCTTTTCTCTCTCACAATGGATAAATACATCCCTGCACACAGACACACCTTTTGTCCTGATTAATTTGAGAGTTAGTTGCAAACATCATGACCTTTTACCCATGAAAATTCAGCATATCAGTGAATCACCACATCAGTGAATTAAGTGAATCTTAAGAACAAGAATATTCTCTTATATAACCACAGTTATGTTAGCAAGGTTAAAAATGTGGCATTGGTTTCTTATATAGTCCATACTCAAATATTGCTGATTACTCCAATATTCATTGTGGCAAACTCCCTCTTCATCTAGGTCAAACTCAGGGCTATCCATTCCTTTAAAAAAGAACAAGCACCTAGGTTTTTAATAGCAGCCAGAGCCAGTTCCAATTCTGGTTCTACCTCTTAGGAGCTATGGATAGATCACTTAACTTCCGGGGCCTCAGTTTCTCTCACCAGAAAAATGGGGATGATAATACCTACCTCAGAGTTGACGGGAGGATGAAATGAAATAATGTAACTGCTGTACAAACAGCTTGACACATAAGCACTTGATAAATATTACTTGTTATTAAACAGTAGTGTATGGCATGAAATAAATAGTAAAAAAAATTTACCAATATTAATGTAAAACATTTTATCTGACCAGTGACTTTGGAAGGCAGAAAATGTAAAAATTTCATGAATTACTCAAAACTCCTACTTTTCTGAAGCCAAGAACTATGTATTTCAAAGTGTAATAAGAAAGTAATAATTACCTAATCTCGTGTCTACTTGTTTTCCTAGTGGACCGAGGGTTAAAGGAGAATTGAACTAATCGTTTTCTTAGCCTAAATAGCATGGTGTAGTAAAAAGACTATGAACTTTGAAGTCCAGTGGGCCTAGATGCATTTTAGCTTAGTAATGTTGCCGCCTTTTCCTCTAACCGCGTCACTCAAGTTAACTAAATTGAGTGTCAGAGCAACCTTACTCCTTAAGGTTATCTTTATAGTTAGGCAAGATGACAAAGCCAAAATCAAGTGAGTAGACTTGAATGGGTTATATATTTACAGTTGTCCAGCCCTTACTTTAAAAAGACATTAGTTTTCAATTGCTCATAACTGGCAACGCATTTAGCTAATTCTAGAGTTGTAGCAGACTCCCTGGGTAGTGCGAACGGTTAAAGTACTTGGCTGCTAACTGAAAGGATGGAGGTTTAAGTCCACCCAGATGCTCCTTGGGAGACAGGCCTGGTGATCTACTTTAAAAAAAAAAAACAGCCATTGAAAACATGGTGCACGGACACACATGGGGTTGCTATGAGTCGGAATTGACTTGGTGGCAGCTGTTTAGAGTTGTAACAGAATGATAGGGAGAGCTGAGTGTTATAGCTGAACAACTTCTAGATATTTTGCTCAGAATCCCCTTAACCTAACAAACTTTAAAAAAATTATTTCAGTCCTTCAGCTTTTGAGTGCCTACCATGTGCCAAGCACTGTGTTTAGAACTGGGAATACAAATGGAAATGAGTTAGAATCGGCTCTTACTGGCACTGTAGTTTCAGTCTACTTCCTGGAGGAAACTGACAAATGGGCTATTTCAGTGTAGTATGTTAAGTACTGTTACAACGCCAGAGGTGAGGTGACTGTTCTGATTTTACAGTTTGCTTCTTTAAATGATGGTAGCCACTCTCTCCAAGGGCAGGCTTGGATTAGATTAAAATAAAATTTTAAGAATTTAGTGAAGTTGCTACAGGGGAAGTCAGCACAACTGGACTAAACCAAAGCTAAGAAGTTTCTTGAATACAGTCAAACACTTTGAGGGACAGAGTAGTAGGGGTAGGGATCTGGGGACCATGCTTTCAGGGACATCTAAGTCAAGTGGCATAACAAAGCTTATTAAGAAAATGTTCTGCATCCTGCTTTGGTGAGTGGCATCTGGGGTCTTAAAAGCTTGCAAGTGGCCATCTAAGATGCATCAGTTGGTCCTAACCACCTGGAGTAAAGGAGAATGAAGAACACCAAAGACATAAGGAAAGTATTAGCCCAAGAGACAGAAAGGGCCACAGAAACCAAGACTTCATCAGCCTGAGACCAGAAGAACTAGATGGTGCCTGGCTACCACCAATGACCACCTTAATGGGGAACACAACAGAGAGTCCCGGGTGGAGCAGGAGAAAGGTGGGGTGCAGAACTCAAATTCTAATAAGAAGACCAGACTTAATGGTCTGAGACTGGAGGAACCCCGGAAAGCATGGCCCCCAGATTCTCCATCAGCCCAGAACTAAAACAATTTCTGAGGCCAACTCTTCAGACTGGGTTTGGACTGGACTGTGGGACATAAAGTGATACTCAGGAGGATTGTGCCTCTTAGCTTAAGTAGATACAAGAGACTAAATGGGCAGCTTCTGTCCGGAGGTGAGATGGGAAGGCACAGAGGGTTAGGAGCTGGTTGAATGGACATGGGGAATCGGGTGGAAAGGAGGAGTGTGCTGTCACAGTATGGGGAGAGCAATTAGAGTCACATAACAATGTATGTATAAATTTTTATATGGGAAAAAATTAAAGAGTTTAGTGAAGTTGTTCCAGGAGGTCAGTTTCATTCCTGTGAAATTTCACTTTATAACCAAGTTGCAGTGAAGCCCTCTGAAGTCTGCTCTACCTAAAGCACATTTGCCTTTTATGAGCAAAACCCCATCACTCCAAGTCCGTCTTCAGAGGGGAGTTTTTTGATAAACCATGTTTCTATAAGACAGACCAGTAATAGATAAGTACATATCTGAAATGTGCTCCATTTTGTGTGTGTGTGATTTAGACTAAGAAATGTTACAGCAAATAATCAAATCTCCAAATGGTGTACAAATCACGCTGTTTTACCTAACATATCACGATTGAGATGTGTTCTTTTCACATGATCTCGGTTGCTTCCTGAGCAGTGTCCTCTTTAAAGCCAACATCAATAAGTCAAACACAAATATTGGGAAAGTCTTGCCTTTTGACAACATTGATAGGAAAAGTGTTTTTTAAGAAGCGATGCCACTGCTTTTCTGAAATACTGGTCTTCTCTTTTAGTGCGTAAATTCACAGACAAACATGAATGGGTAACAACAGAAAATGGTATTGGAACAGTGGGAATCAGCAATTTTGCACAGGTATTGAATTGTCTTGAAATATTTGTGACAGTCTGCTCTTGCTAAATTGGATTGTCTAACTTTTAAACGTTTTGTTGATTCTACCTTTACTACTTCGGGCCCTTTTCCCATGAAGCGCCCCTTAGAAAAAAAGCAATTACAAGTAAAACAAAATTAGTTAGGTAAGTATGTGGTGTTTTAAAAGATGTTGAAAGATTGAAACTTAAAATTAAGGTAGGGAACATACCTTATTCAATAAACAAATGTTTGTTTCATATGGGGGCAGTTAAGGAAAGAGGAAGAAAAAGAACAAGCAAAGGGCTGGGGTGTTGACAGTCTTTTGTGGGTGTGGTAATACATACATGACCAGGGGGACGTGAAGAAGAGGGAAAACTAGATTGGCACAGTTTATACAAAGGTAATTATATATATAGCCAATTTTATCTCTATTTATTCCCCCGATCCCATATTGAGATGTTTAAAAGAAAATGAGAAACAAATAGCAGCAAAGTTTAAAAAGTAATTGATTTTCTACTGGATGTATGTTTGATGGGGCAGGGAGGGGGAAAGGGATATTACTGATGGTAGTATGTATATAATATTCCTCAGATATGTTGGATTATCAGAATGTGAGACACTGATACCTTCGTTGTCATATCTGTGTACCTATGTATAACTATAAACATTGTATAACGTTTATTATACATTGTGAAACATTGTGTAAGATGTGGCCCTTGCCCTTCTCGAGTTTTATCTGTGAGGGAGAGAACAATCACCTACATGGAAAACAACATACAAAACATTATGTGATAGATAGCGCATGAGTGGTACAAGGGGCTGTAATTCATTCACCTGATGGAGAGACCACGTCTTATTGAAGTCAAGAGGTCTTCAGGAAGTACAAGGAACAAGGACTAGGTTTTGTAAAATCAGTGGATAGGATTTCAGCAGATTCAGTAGGGGAGATAGCCTGCAGTGGTGGAAAAGCATGAAGTGTGTTTTGAGAGGAGCTAGTAATCTTGTTTGGGGTATATGGTTCGTGACAGGAGTCACTATAGCCTATGGGCCAAATCTGGCTAGTTGCCTGTTTCTTAGAACTTCTGAGTTAAGAATAGTTTTTTACATCTTTAAAGGGTTGTAAGAAAACACAAAAAATGTGGCCCTTTACAAAAATTTGCTGACTTCTGAATTCTAGGGGATTTAGCATTTGCATTGTTCCTATTTACTGGGAGTCTAATTTGATTTCTTAGTGATTTATCTCTCTCTGTCTCCCTCTTTTTTTTAGGAAGCTTTGGGAGATGTTGTTTACTGTAGTCTTCCTGAAGTTGGGACAAAATTGAACAAACAAGGTGAGTGTTTTTCTCATCTTGGTATGTGACATGAATTTTCTTTACCTTGAATAATAACTTACTTGCACCCAGGATCAATTAGAGTGCTTTTGACTCAACTAACAGAACACTAAAACAGAAGTAGCTTACACAAAACCTGAACCCGTTGCCACTGAGTCGACTCCAACTCATAGCGACCCTATGGGACAGAGTAGAACTGCCCCATAGGGTTTCCAAGGAGCGCCTGGTGGATTTGAACTGCCGACCTTTTGGTTAGCAGCCGTAGCTCTTAACCACTCACCACCAAGGTTTCCAAGGTTTATTATGATCTCATTCAAGCAGTCTGAAGATAGGTGTTGTGGATTGAATTGTGTCCCCCAAAAATGTCTGTCAACTTGGCTAGGTCATGATTCCCAGTATTGTATGATTGTCTACCATTTTGTCATCTGATGTGATTTCCCTATGTGTTGTAAATCTTGTCACTATGAGGTAGTAAGATGGATTAGTGACAGTTATATTGATGAGATCTACAAGATTAGATAGTGTCTTAAGCCAGTCTTTTTTGAGATATAAAAGAGAGAAGCAAGCAGAGAGACAGGGGGACCTCATACCACCAAGAAAGCAGCATCGGGAGCAGAGTGCATCCTTTGGACCCAGGGTTCCTGCGCAGAGAAGCTCCTAGACCAGGGGAAGATTGATGACGAACCTCCCTTCAGAGCTCACAGAGAGAGAGAAAGCCTTTCCCTGGAACTGATGCCCTGAATTTGGACTTGTAGCCTACTAGATTGTGAGAGAATAAATTTCTCTTTGTTAAAGCCATCCATTCGTGGTATTTCTGTTATAGCAGCACTAGATGACTAAGACAGAATTTGATACCAGGAGTACGGTGCTGCTCTAACAGATACCTAAAATGTGACAGTGGTTTTGAAACTGTGAAGGAGTAGGGGACTTAGAAGTGTAGAGAACTGTTAACACGGGAGATGGCACAGATGGTGAGAAGCAGCAGCAGAGGATCAGCAGCGGCAGAGGACCGGCAGCAGCAGAACCGGGAGACCAGCACCAGACATCGCTGGAGCCGACCCACGGAGCAAGAGAGCTGAGTGCCTTCCTGCTGAAGTCTACTGGTGGAGTGGGGTATCTCCAGGCACTTACTGGTGGAGCTACAGAGCTTTGGAACACTTGCCTCAGCAGGGCAGATGCGGGTGTGAGGCCCAAGGGCTGAGAGGCCGAGGAACCAGGAAGCAGAAGTTCAAGAGAAGGAACACAGGAAGTCGAACTGCCTCAGTCTCAAAAGGTATGGCCTCGACCTCAGGTTTCAAAGAGTGGAGCCATAGCCTCTGGTGTTTCTAAGGGTGGAGTTGCCACTCAGATGGACTAGGAGAATGGTGCGCCTAAAAGCCAAGGGAGCAGAGTTGCTGTACTAGTGGGCCTGGAAGGCAGAGCTGAAGCCCAAGGCCAAGGATTAGTGGCAGTTATATTGATGAGATCTACAAGATTAGATAGTGTCCGAAGCCAATCTCTTTTGAGATATAAAAGAGAGAAGCAAGCAGAGAGACAGGGGGACCTCATACCACCAAGAAAGCAGCATCAGGAGCAGAATGCATCCTTTGGACCTGGGGTTCCTGCACAGAGAACCTCCTAGTCTTGGGGACTGTTGATGACAAGGACATCAGAGCTGACAGAGAGAAGGTCTTTCCCTGGAGCTGATGCCCTGAATTTGGACTTGTAGCCTACTAAGACTGTGAGAGAATAAATTTCTCTTTGTTAAAGCCATCTGCTTTTGGTATTTCTGTTATAGCAGCACTAGATAACCAAGAATATAGGGTTGGTCAGTGACTCATTGAAGGTCACCAAGGATGCAACCTCTTCCTTCTTTTTCTGCTTCAGTGTGTCAGAGGCAGTGTGTGGCTCCAAAATCTTCAAGTATCACCTTCTTTTTTTCAATGAAGGTTATTGTTTTCAATGAAGGTTTACACAGCAGTTTAGGTTCCCGTTCAACAATTTCCACGCAAGTTGTTCAGTGACATTGATCAAGCATCACCTTCTTAAATGACAGCATCTAAAAGCTAAGAGGGAGGGGCAGGTGCTCTTCTTTTTCTCTTTATCAGGAAGGAACATCTCTACCAGAAATCTCTCAGCCAACATTCTCTTGCATCTCATTAGCCAGGTCTAGGTGGTATTGCTGCTAGCTATGAGGGATGATGAGAAGGAGAGTAAACAAGCATTTTCTGACATGACAACAAAAGGTAGGAAGAAAAAGTGGAGGGAAAGGGCTCTTAGCACACTCTTGCCATGTGCACATTGATGTTGCTTGATATAGCTGAGGTCTATTAAGTTTAAAAAGTAAAATCTGCCTTTCTTTTGAGGAAGTAGAGCATATCAGTAAAGAACATGGGCTTAGGGGTCACAGCCTGGTTTTAAATCCTGGTCCCACAATTTAGGGGCTCTGGTGGTGCAGTGGGTAAGCATTTGGCTACGAATCAAAAGGTCAGCAGTTCGAGTCCACCAGTCGCTCCTTGGAGACCCTATGGGACAGTTCTACTCTGTCCCATAGGGTCACTGGGAGTCTGAATCGACTCAATGGCAACAGGTTTGGTTTGTTTTTTTCCCACAATTTAGCAACTGTGTGACTTTGGGGAACTACTTAATTTAGGCCTCCCTCATCTTTAAGTTAGGATAATACCTATTTTTGTAGGATTGATGCAAGGATTAAATGAAACTACCACAGTGTCTGGCATAAGGTAAGGGCTTGACAAATATTACTTAGTGTTACCAGGTAGATTATTCATAAGATCTTTGAAATATATAAGACAGCTGTACAGAATTTCTAAGTATCTTTTTTCTAAATATCTTTGACCATATTGGCCATATCTTTTCTGCTGCATTTTGGCCATTATACAATATAGATCATGTCCCTCTTTGAAAACCTTCTTGGAAGCCTTTTCTTATAAGACCCATGTCGTGATTGATAATCTTTATCTGTCCCTTTTTCCTTTTTCTAACATCACAGCAAAATTTTTCATTTACTTTTCTCATGTTTTGTTTGGTGTGTACTCATTCTGCTACTCTCTTAAGCAGATCATAAGTTTCTGAACATCTCTTTACAAGTGAGCAGCATGAACCTTCTTGTGCTTTATTAATATTAATATTAGGTAATAGCCTAAGACTAATTGAATGCTCTCTTTAAACTTTCTGCTAAAAGGTTTTTTGTTTTTAATGGATATAAAATTTATACACAGTGAAATGTATGGATCTTAAGTGTACAATTCAGTGAGTTTTGACAACTGAATATACTTATGTAAACCACCCCAGTCAAGATACAGAATATTTCCCTTACCCTAGAAAGTTTCTTTGTGCCCCATCCCAATCAAAATTCTTCTGCAGTACAGCAGTGTTCACTGAAGCACTGTTCACAATAGCTGTCTTGGTCATCTGGTGCTGCTATAACAGAAATACCACAAGTGGATGGCTTTAACAAAGAGAAATTTATCTCTTCACAGTAAAGTAGGCTAAAAGTCCAAATTCAGGGCGTCAGCTCCAGGGGAAAGCTTTCTCTCTCTGTTCACCTTCTCATCAGTGTTCCCCTGGACTAGGAGCTTCTCCGTGCAGGGATCCCAGGTCCAAAGGACGCGCTCTGCTCCTGGCACTGCTTTCTTCGTGGTATGAGGTCCCCTTGTCTCTCTGCTTGCTTCTCTCTTTTAGATCTCAAGAGATTGCTTCAAGACACAATCCAATGTTGTAGATTGAGTCCTGCCTCACTAACACAACTGCCACCCATCCTCCCTCATTAACATCATAGAGGCAGGATTTACAACATAAAGGAAAATCACACAGTACCAGGAATCATGGCCCAGCCAAACTGATACAGCATTTTTTCGGGGACATAATTCAATCCATGACAGTAGCCGAAAGGTGGAAACAACCTAAATGCCCATCAACAAATGACTGGATAAACAAAATGTGGTACATACATACAATGGAATACTACTCAGCCAGTAGGAGAAATGAAGTCTTGATACATGCTACAGTATAAGTGGAGCTGGAAGACATTATTCTGAGTGAAATAAGTCAACCACACAAGGAACAAATATTGTATGACCTCACTTATATAAAAAGACAAAAGGCAAATGTATAGAGAACAAAGTTTATTAGTGGTTACCAGGAGTGACAGGAAGGGGAATAGGGGGAGTTAAACAGTGATGGAAAAATCCCATTAAGGGTAGGGTTGCACAGCCGATTATTGTAATTGCTGTATACCTGTAAAAAGTTGAATTGGCAAAAGTTGTCTGATAGATATATTTACAACAATGACCAAAAAAAAAAAAAAACAGCTGCTGGGGCTACTTATATACAACCAAAAACCTTTTTGGTTTCTTGGTTGGGAGGTTTAGGGTCATGGTTTCATGGAACATCCCAGTTAACTGCCCTAATAACATGTTTAGTGCTTCTATTCTACCTCCTAGTTTGTTGCATAGTGCCTGGGGTCTTAAAAGCTTGCAAGCGGCCATCCAAGGCACAACAATTGGTCTCTATTCTCCTGGAGCAACAGAGGAAGAAGGAGCATCAGGAATAGAAGGAGGGTATGGAATGTGTTGGTAAATGCCTCCATGAACAACTGCCTCCTTCGTCATAAGACCAGAAGAACTGCATGGTGCCTGGTTACCATTACTTAACATTTCGATCAAAGATTCTGTAGAAGAATCCTGATCAAAAGGGAGAAGATACAGAACAGAATTTCAGATTCTCATGGACTTGAGACTTCCTGGAGTCATGAACGTTGGATGCACTCCTGAAACTACTGCCCTGAGATAATCTTAAAACCTTAAACCAAAAATAACCTCTGAAGTCTTATTAAAACCAAGCAATAGTTTAGCTTAAGTAGTAAAAAACGTCTGCCTTGAGCATTATGCTCTTTTAAGAACTGTCTAAACTGGATCAGATTGACAACAGCAACTGAAAATATTAGATAGGAAACTTAGGGGTCAGTGAGTTTATTTTAATGGGGGAGGAACAACTCAGAG